AGTAAACAATTAATTGTTTACTCTATAAAATCACTCCAATGTAGCGAGGGACCGCCACACTCAACCTTGTGTTATTTTCTATAAAATATATTAAAAAATGCTTATTAAATTTTCCCAGAACCCAGGTTGAGGTATGTAGGCCTACATCAATGACTTGTCTGATTAATCAATAACCACACTTGTTATCAATTCATTTCTAGCTATTAGCCTACCACGATCCTCACACTGAAACTAAAACCTTTTGAATCAGCAAATATCCACATTTCATTTCAATGCAACTGCACCAATGCATCACAAACCCATCTTGTTCACCCAGCAGATCAAGAATTACAGTCCTTGCAGTAAACAAATGTTTAAACACATAATAAACACTATCAACACATCTGTTTCCTAAACATTGTGCTTTTAACAGCTGCTAGACTTGGTAGATCTCCAGTCAGTAACACCACCTCTTTGCCTACCTCCATGTTGCTACACTGCTGACAGTGAACCGAGTAAAGTGAGGTATCTTTACGACAAACTTTCAAACCCTCTCCGCCATGTGGAACCAAAATGGAACGTTACCCTCGGCGGTCCAATCACGTCACTCTCTTACTTCCTGTCAGAGGGCACGCACGCACACGCGCCTTGCGTCATTACGCACTTCCTGTTCTCCACGAAGCCCCCCCCCCCCCCCTTCCCCCCCCTCTCTTCTCCTCACCGTCGCGCCGTGAAGTGGATGTTTTGGTGAAAAAATACGGTGTCGAAAAGGGACCTAAACACATTCAGAACATGACATTTCGACCGAGTGGGACCTAAAGCGGCGCAGCGGAGGGAAGAGGGCCCGTCTGCGGCGGAGATTTCGGTGTATCTGTGTATCGTATTCTTCCGCATGTCCGCTTTCTTCGTAGATGGTCTCCGGCGAGCGTTGTCTAACAGCGGACGACGAGTTCTCGACGAGTAATATGAAGGAGATGATCGGGGGTTGCTGTGTTTGCTCAGACGAGAGAGGCTGGGCGGAAAACCCGCTAGTCTACTGCGACGGACACGGTTGCAACGTCGCCGTGCATCAAGGTGAGCTGTGGTTGTAGCTCGGGTTAGGCGCTAAAGCGGGTTAGCTCGCAGGCTAGTTAGCGTTGCCTTGTTGCAAGGTTATGGTGCGCTCCGTGTGCAGCCGCCTCCTCCGCCTGCCCTCACCAAGGCCGGGCTGAGGTCAGGCTCGGCTCATGCAGCGGGGGCAGTAACATTCAGCCGGTGTAATCCGCCGTGGATGGTGGTTGGCAGCTGCTTTATGAGCACATTTCTCGCTGCGAGTCATGCCGATTTATTTTTTCCCCCAGAAGCTGTCAAGTGGGACAGAGAGAGAAAGAGAG